CTGTCCTTTAATTGCCCATTAAAATGCCCACTTTACCCTATGGTTTGGGTGTGACTTGAAGCATGAAAAGTCCATTATGAATCCCTGTATTGAGCACACTAATAGTGTAGCTTGGGCTGCAAATCTAAGGCCATTATTGCTCAGGAAACTAGAACAAGAAAGAAACAAGGTATTGTAGGGCCTGAATAGTTCAGCTTCAGTCAGTGGAACACCCAGATATCTGAACCAAGTGCAAAGGAAATGTCACCTGCAATCAGGATATAGTGAAATCTGCTGATGGGACGAGAGGCTCGATGTGAAGCAAGGTGCTCTACCTGCCAAGAACATACTTGCCCTTTGGCTGGGGAATCTTTCCCTGGGCAGTGATTTTAGCCTTTGCCTGAATCTGACATATGGGACAGATTTTTTATGCTTACCACAGTGGCAGTCATGTGTATAGGCCCAAACTGAGCTAGTGTCCAGATTTTCAAGGGTCATCCTCTCGTGAATTCAGGTGATTGGTCACACATCTTTTATTCTGGAGTAGAGGACACTTCAGTCTCCACATTTAATTAACAAGCATGGTCTGCTCATTGATTACGTTTTTGTGGCCAAATATAGGTGCCTCTCTGGTGAGCATCCACATGGGTAACAACATACTTATTAGGAGAAAAACTGACTTTTATTCCAGTGTGTTCTCTCCATAGGAGGGCTGTTTTAATTCCAGTTCATGGTTCTCAAGAGGCCCAATAAAACAGCCAGCCCAATAGCAATATTCAGGTCATCAGGTAGGTTCACAGTCCTCCACATGACCCAGGAAAATGTCTCTTCACAGCAATTCCCATCATGGGTTGGGGGCAAGGTCAGCAGTACATGGATGATTTATCAATACTGATAATATATTCAGCAGTGGGGTCTTCACAATAGATCCTAATATACTCCGCTCATGGTCAGGTTTGGGCAAGAACCTGGGTGGTGACAAAGATCTCAGTTTCACCAGACTTTAGTCAGGCTCCTCTGAACTTTCTTCTCATTGAGCCATGAGTTTTAGGCTTCTGATGTCCCTCTCTGCATTGTCCACTTTTAGCCAAAATCCTGTTGAATCAGATTAATGAAAATTTTCCACCCCTGTACTGAACACATTTAATACCTAATCACCCTGGTCTGTCTTCAGTAAAAATTCTTTTAGGTGAATTTAGCAAAGAATTACCTTACCTCTTAGTAATTTTTCATTCACCAACCTCTGACCCTGCTCCTTGGCTATAAACCTCGCCTTCTTCTTATTATATTCAGAGTTAAACCAACCCCCCCCCCCACACACACACACACTATTTACCTAGTCTGTGATACACTGTTAGGGTAGCCCTAGGAAACAAATTAATACAAAGTCATCCCAAATAAAAGGAGAAAGGAAGGAAGGTGGTCAGATGGTGCAGATGAACTCAGGTGCATGAGAAGAGCCCCAGGACAAGGAGCATAGAAGAATGGGTGAGGGGAGGAGAAGATTCGGGGGTGCAAGGGATACAGGGTGATGGGGGCTGAAGAGTTCTGAGGAGTGAAATATGGATAAGCAGCCTGACAAAATTGACATTTAGAGAACTTGTAGATGAGTGACCCATGGTTTGTGACATTAATGAATGAGATGGTGTCTGCTTCAGAGTCTAGGAAAACTCCCACTTGATGAGGAGGAACAGCCATGGGAAGAGTCAAGACCTTGGGATCAGAGGTGGAAGAGTCCTCAAAGGCACTGCACTCACATTCGTTCTGTAACCCCACCACTCAGCAGCCATTTGCAGGTCTGAATCTGGAATAAACATTTGATTTATGTTTGGGTTAAAAACAAACCCAGAATTGTTTTTTTTGTTTGTTTGTTTTGTTTTGTTTTGTTTACTATTGAGGTTACTTCTTTTATTGTATTACCCTAGGATCCAGGCAATCTTCCCAGAAAAATTAACTTCCCAGTAATATTTCCCCAAGGAGAAATTTTGGCTTCTGAGGACATCAAAAGCAGAAGAATTACATAGATATACATTCTTAAACATATAATGGTTCCCAACTGTCACTTTTCTCTGATCTACATAAAACGACAACATTTGAAAGAGCACTGAATGGATTCAGCATTAAGTTCACTATAGGAAAAATTACACAGTCAGTGAATTAAATAGGACGTGTGTGTCTTGTGACATTGTGAGGAGGGATATTGGGGATTGACTGGGAGGAACATGAGTTAATGGGTCCGTGATGAGTAGATCATTTAAGAACTGTTGTATGCATGCATGTTTGGGTGGGGCACATTAACTAAGATCGTGGGACTTAATAGTAACAACAACTTCTGAAGAGGGATCAGAACATGGTGATTCAAAGATCCCGTACGTTCTCACCCTAGTGGCATTAAACTTCTTTGACATAGGAAATGACAAAATTGTAATGATGTTGTTGGAAGCAAAGGAGGAATCATTAACACCTGTCTTTTCTCCTGAGTTAAGGACAGCGAGGGGGAATCCTGTGAGGCTGTCAACTGCTGAAAGAAAGGACACTGGGCCATTCCCACTTAGATATGATCCCATGTTCTGCACAGGGTAGCTCTCGCTCCTTTATTCCCATCTAGAAACAACATCCACTCTCCCATTTTGCTCTGACACTACAAGCGTTCCACACCCACACCCTTCCCCTGGCTCTCCTCACCATTAGTCGCAGTATCTTTTCAGATCAGGGGCTCCTAAATGTCTCCTTTGTTTACTCAAAAAGATTTTTGGCATTGCTTCTAGGAAGGTACTGATGGCACTTTTAACACATCATCAGTTTACTTTAGTTTTCCTATAATATATTGAACATCATAAATGAACTCACGACCCACATTAAATATAAATACTATAAAATTCTTAACCTTTGTTAAAGATGACCAATGGGCATTACAGCTGTTTAGGATCAATATAATTATCATTTATTCTTCTACTATGAAGGAATGTTTATTCTAAACATAAAAATGATGTTATGATTTTCCAATATTATCAGAATCAAGAGAAAACAGTGTGTGTGATAAATTTTATGTATCAAGTTAGCTAAACTACAGAACCTAGATATTTGGCCAAACTCTTGCCTCAATGTTGCTATAAAGGTATATTGTAGATGAGATTAATATTTAAAGCAGTACACTGAATAAAGCAGATTACCCTCCATAATATGAGTAGCCCTTGTCCAACTAATTAAATGCATTAAGAGGGAAAAAAAAGAACCTGTTAAAAGAAGAAATTCTGCCTCCAGAATTGGGCTTCAATATCATCTTTTCCCTGGACCTCCAGCTTGTCAACTGCCCTAAAGATTATGGACTTGTCACCCTTCACAATTGTGTGAATCAGATAGTTAAGATCTATCTATCTATCTATCTATCTATCTATCTATCTATCTATCTATCTACCTACCTACCTATCATCTATCTATCATCATCTGTCTATTCATCCATCTATCTACACATACATCCTATTCTGTTTCTGTGGAAAACCCTATTATAAGGTCTACAAATGGACCTGTATTGTCTTAATGACAAAGCAACACTAAAAAAAAATACCTTTCCCCTGGGAGATAGATGAGTTACCTAGAGATAGTCAGTAATGAGAGAAGACAACAGTAGACCAAACTGCACTTTTTTTTTTGGCTCTGAACTTGATTGAGGAAGAGTTGGAAATAAAAATGCAAAAAAGCATGGGAGTCCACACAGTCCTGAATGAACATCCATTGTAGGAAATATGCCCCTCCTATCTCATTAGAAGGAGAATGGGCTTTTTGGTCTTTGGAACTTTCAACTCACTGCAAATGTAAGGCTGACTTGGGCAACAAAACACTTACCTACACCATTGTCATGAAATCCCACAATTGAACTTCTGCCTCCTACTGTATCACTGTGAATAATAAGGTTTTAAACCTAAGCAAATAGAACTAATATTTAATTCTATTTTAATGAAGTAGAAGTACTCCAGAAAAAAAGAAAAAAACAAACAAACAAACATGATTAGGCAGTTAGAAACATTTATTTTACAATTAGCTAAAATGTAAAGAAAGCTGTCATTTTTCCATTATTATTTTATTTCTTAAAACAATGCAAGGGTAATAATGTTGAAAGTAAACTAATCTGTATTCTTAAATCATTTATTTCAGTCACAGTAAGAGGCAAACAAAAAAATAGACAGTATACTTGTTTAATCATTATATGCTAGAAATGACAGAAATTATTGAAAATATTCTGCTAATTTTCACAATAATACATCAAGTAAATTCCATTCTTTTTTAATAAATGAGAAACTGAATCCCATAAAATTTAGATTATTTGATTAAGGCTGATAAAGACTTCAGTAAAAACTACCCTACTGCCCCCAAAGGCACAAACCTATTTCATGAGATACTAACACAGCTTATATTTTCTGTAATTAGTAAAGAAAATGTTTATTAAGTTGAGACACATGTTTTATACTTTTATATTCTCACAATGCTCCTAAGTATAGTGTAGTTTTTATACCATGACTATTTTTTAAAAATAAAGTCAGCATTCAAGTATTTTATTAAAGGTTACACTGCATATTTGGAGACACTGGACTTGAAGTCAGACACCATGGATACAAATCTTCCCCTTCATAGATATTATTCATTATATACTCTCCTTCACTCCTTGATGCATAAAGAACATCATGGATAAACTGATATACCCCTGAGGACTCCTTCTATAGTGAATAGCTGCTATACAAGGTCTTGAATAATATACAAAAGTTGTTGAAAAACTGTCATGCTTCTCAGTGGCAGAGAAAATGATATTGTAAAAATTTGGTAGAGATGTCACCCCCACACTGGTATTATTATTATTTTCTTTATCCTCACCCAAGGACATTTTTTCCATTTTTTACTCAGATAGAGCGGGAAGGAGAGAGAGGAAGAGAGAGAAACATCGATGTGAAAGGGACACATCGAGTGGCCGCCACCCACACGACCCAACCAGGGCTGGGGACAAACTGCAGCCAAGGTACATGCCCTTAGTGGGAATCAAACCCGGGTCTCTGTGGACCGCAGGTTGACGCTCTAACCACTGAGCCAAAACAGCCAGGGCCACACTGGTATTTTTTTATGAGGCATTCATTGTTTTGCTTCTGATTATGGAAAGTGGTGAATAAAAATTATCTACTAATGCAAACAAGACATTAGGAAAAATACGACACAAGGCAACTTGTACACTCTACTGTTAAATGAAGGATGTCGAAATGGAAAAAATAAATAAAAAGGAAAGGCAGCCAAGCTCAGTGTGTAAGGTGCACACCAAGGCCAGAGGCACCACAAAAGAAGTAGATGAGGGTGTAAGAGATTTAAGAGCTTGGAGAGCACAGTGTCATGCAGCCAGTGCAGTGCAAAGGATTGAAAAACGGATACACTTCTTGAGAAAAGCAACATGAAGAGAATTTATAGATGAGATCCCCATAGTTTGTGACATTAAAAAATGAGACAGTGCCAGCATTATAGTCTAGGAAAACTCCAACACGACGGGGAGGAACAGTAAGAACAAGGGAGGAGAAGATGCCCCAGTAGTTGGACAAATCCAAAAAAGCCTTATATTCAGAGTTATTCTGTAACCCTATAACCCAGTAGCCAAGTCTAGGTTGATATCTAGAGTAATCTTGATGAAAACTGAAATAATTATGTTTTACACAACATACCCCCAAGATCCAGGCATGTTTGTCTGACACATCTACCTCCCAGTAATGTTTCCCTGATGTGATCACCGGTGAGCCCAAGACATCATAATCGGCCTCATGAACATTTGTATTCCAATGTAACACTCTCACTTCTCTCCGATCCTCAGAAATGGCAACGTCTGGATTATTCTTGGGAAGGTTCAGGGTAATGTAAACTGTAGAAAAATGACAGGGTTGGGTGAATAATTTGATGTACCTTCTTTATTTGTGGCATTATGGAGGAATCTTCAGACTAACATGACTGGGAACTGGAATTGAATTCTGTTCTTGGGGAGAGCTATAATACTGCAGAAATACAATGTGTTTGTGTGTATACTCAGAGAAAACATGGGACTTAAGACATGAGACCTAGTAGAAAATATGAAATTTTAAAAGAAAGTGACAAAAGGGTGGCTTCGTGATACTGTAATTTCTCCTTACCCCAGTAGCATCGCGCAGCTGTCAGTTCTGAAATGATAAAAATCCATAATATTAAATGTAAACAAAAGAGTCAGCACTAAAATCTATTTCCTCTCCAGATCCGGGGAAAGACTGGGGTCATTGTGAGGTGGTACACAGAAGGATGAGAGGTGAATAAGACAGGTGGCCACTCCCCATTGAATAGACCATATCAGCATTACAAGACATCCATCCTCCGTTTCCTCTACTCACACCCAGAAACTGAACCCTCCTCCCTCTTTAACTCTCAGCATCACAAGAATCTCACAGCCACCCACTTGCTCTGGCATTTCTCACCAGCAAATGCTTGCAGCATCTCTCTCAGATCAGGTGCTTGGAACACACTCCTTTGTTTCTCGTAGAGAGCCTCTGGCTTCTTCAGAATGAAGGTCTCACTCCTAGGGATGACAAAAATTAAACCCCACACACACCTCTAAATTTTTGTCTCTCCAAAACCACTGATTTCTATCTATTCACCCCACTGAGCACTTGAGCCCCATTCCATGGACCCCTGAGAAAGGGGAGCATAGACTTCTGACCTTAAAGCCAGAAGCAATATGCTCATGTCCTACTTTACAATATAGTCTGTATAATCGTAGGAAGACCTTCACCTCTCAGAAGCATAGTTTATTCCTCCCACATTATAACTAACCTCTAACTCTGTCTCCTAAAATCATACACAATTACACAAAATTAATTTTTTTAAAAAAAAGAAACTTTGTCTCCTTAAAATAAATTCATGTAAAGAAAAGTCACAGTAATGATATGAGGGATATTAGATAATAGTGAAGTTGCAGAGTCTGGCTCCTGGTGGTTTTAGAAATATTAAGTGTGGGAATATTGTCTGGGGAGGACCAATACCTTTAAAGTCTGCTCTGAGGTAGGGAGGCCCTCAGAATAACATCTGAGATTTCTGGTACTCTGGGAAAAATTGTAATGCTTGGAAAACAAGACATTATAAATACCATTCAATTAGTGCTCTGAATTTCATGTGTTTGAAAGCCCAATGCAGCCAAGTAGGTGTGTAAATTTAGACACAAGGGTGCTGCCCTTTCATTCTAGCTTCAGAAGTACACGATCAAGAGAGATCAAGTGTTTGCACCAGGGCCAAAATAGCCTTTGCAATTCAAATTTGTTTTTAGAAAATAAGGAAAACTGTATAGAAGGCCCTGGTCCCTTGTATTCCCAGGGGACAAATTTAACTATGAAAGAATCATCCCCAATTCTGGGTGCTCGGCAGGTAAAGAAGAACCAACCTACCCACAATAGATCAAGCAGCAATGGTATATGGAAATCTGAATTAGATACAGGCACACTGGGTGAATAAACTATAAAAAGGTACTGGGGTCTGATACTATAACACCTTATCCCTAATTGCTACTGACTCAAACTTTGCGACTTCTCCCCCCATGAATTCCCTATCATAGTAAGGCTTCATTTCACATAGTTGTAGAACACTCAAATCATGATATGTGAACAGAAATTTAAGATAAAACTATACCCAAATGTCCATGCCCTGAGCAATATTTTATTCTAATTAACTACCAGATAACTTAAATGGTGTTAAACATCTTTCACAGCCTGAAAGGAACATCTCTGGTCTCCCACACATACCTTTCCATGATGCCATTCACATCCTAGGGAGAAAAGAGAAAACTCAGGTCAAGAAGTAATAAGCTATCCTTACTTACAAAAATTCATCACATCCCACCACCCCCTGATGTGGTGGGAACCGAGATGGTCCCAACGTGAAAGCGAAAAAGTAAAGAACCAGATCAATCACTCCAGGAGACTCATGTGACATTGTCAGGTTCCTAAAATATAGAAACAACGTTGACCCTGGCAGAAGCACAACTTGAGCTTCCAGTACCTGGAGACGAGACATATTTGTGAGAAAAGCATGAGGCCTATGATGTTCCCCCATATTCAGGAAGCTTCTCAGGAGATGCTTTGAATAATGCATGGTTTGTTCATTTATTCAACATGAATGTAAAGTGATGTACTATTACTTGTCAAGCAGTATGCCTTAACTGGGAAAATCAGAGATGAGTAGTTATAGTGCTCCTCGGGGAGTTAACATGGCTTCTGCTGAGGGTACAAGAAACAAATGTATTAATGTTGGCATTTCTCAAGTCTCACCTCATTTTATACACTATTTATAATTGACCTCATGAACTCTCTAAATTCAGCACACGCATTGCAATTAATTTCAAAGTCTTTATATTTACTTAATCTTGTCTTTTAAATTCAGGTTAACATATTCCTTAGTAAAGACCCCAGAGGTACCAGTAACTAGAGATGTTTTATCTGTACCTTATTCTTTGCCAACCAAATTGTCTCCTCCATTTTACCCCCTGGTCCATGTTACCAATATCCACTATACCACTATCCTAAACACTACAATATTTACCTGCATTTCAGTCTCTACCAAGCCAGTTTAATTCACATCATTAACAGTTTTTAGTTGTCTGAACTTCTTTGAACAGATATGAATCAATATATTTGGTCTTTTTCTTAGACTTTTTCCATGATACCAAATCTAGGCCAACTACTGGGTCTACATATGCCAAAAAAAAAAAAAAATTGCATTGCTCTCTGTATTAAAGCTTTTTTGTTGTATATGATAAAAACAGCAACAACAACAATAACTAAAAATAGATTAATTACAGAATAGGAATTTGGGGGACAGTTGTAACTTCAATTAAAGTTACAACTTTTAAAATTGTGAAGCTCAAATACTGTCATCAGATTCTGGTCTATATTATTCTCCAAATTCTATTTATACTCTCTATATTGACTTCATCCTCAGTTCATGAATGAAATATGAATCTCTTCACATAAATTCCCCCAAATAGGAAACTTGTCTTCCCAGTTATATCAAATAATTCTGAGGCCTACATGGCCTTGGCCTGCATTGGCTCAAGAGCCCATATTAAAAGCATCACTGTATTGCTGTTAAAATAATAAAAAATGATGTTGAAGTAAGCTCTCCCAGGGACTAATGTGCCAGTAGGCATAATTTTTCTGTTGTTGAGCCCTTCCTCTACACAGCCTGAAGACACAGGCCAGAAACACATTTAATTCTCCATTAACCTGGCTAATACCACTCTTGTCTCACCCTAGTGATACTCTGAGAACCCACCCCATCCAGTTCAATCCTCTGGCCAAATCTATTTCAAAGCTTAAGCCACACAAGTGGCTGGCCTGCCAGTCCATGCTGCAGACTTTCCTAAAATCTCTCAAAGGTCTTCAGACCCCAAGCAAACAGTGGCTGACCTCATCATGCCCTTTACCTCTTGTTAAGTGGCTCCAGTCAGGCAGTAGTGGCAGCTAACCTTGGTTAAGAGCATATCCACTCCAAGGCACCTCCAAGCCTAGCACAGGCAACCAGAAACACCAGATCACTTTGTAGCTTCTACCAGGTGGCACTATACCAGACACAGAAAGTGGTTGACCTATACCAGACCCCTCCCAGAAGCCCCACAACTAACATGCATAGTGGCCAGCTTCAGACTCCATACCAGAGCACCACCCTATTATCACCACAAATGACACACCCAAAAGTTGACTCAACAGGAACTAGAGACCCACTAAGATAAATCTCTCTCCAAGGAGTCAGTCTTTGCACAATACCTTATTCACTATAGTAAATGCCATAGCTATCAGCCACTTTGACTGAGGGTCAGTCCCACCCACCGACATGCCAACAGTAATCAAGGCTCAACTACAACAGGAAAGCATGTACAATCCACACAAGGCACATGGCTCGGGTGAACATGGCAACTGCACCACTGGGCCCTAAAGGACCTTATTTACAGAAGGTCACTCTATTAAGACTAAAAGATGTGGCAAATATAACTAATACATAAAAATAAACAAAGCAGTCAAAATAAGGAGACAAAGAAACATGTCTCAAATGAAAGATCAGAAAAACACTTCAGAAAAATAACTAAACAAATGGAGGTAAGCAATATGCCAGATGTAGAATTCTAAACACTCTTTATAAAGATGTTCAATGAACTAAGGGGTTGTATAGATTTTCTCAGTGAGAACTTTCAAAGAGATAGAAAACATAAAAACAAAGATAGAAAGCACAAAAAAGACCATAAGAAATGAAGAATAAAAAGAGAGAAAGTTGAAAGCAGCAAGTTAAAGGCAGTTAGTAACCAAAAGGGGGCTCCCATAAGACTATCAGCTGATTTCTCAACCAAAACTTTTCAGGTCAGAGGGATTGGCATGCAATATTCAAAGTGATATAAAGTAAGGACTTACAACCTAGATTACTCTACCCAGCAAGGCAATCATTTAGAATTGAAGGAGACATAAAGAGCTTCCCAGATTAAAAAAATAAATAAAATAAAGCTGAAAGAGTTCATCACTACCAAACCAGTATTATAAGAAAAGTTAATATGACCAACATTATTGATCAGTTCAACCTAATTGGCATTTGTAGACCCATTCACTCACACATTCTTTTCAAATTCATATAAAAAATTTTGGACATACAATAGTTTAGGCCATAAAGAAAGTAACAATACATTTAAAAGATTGAAATAATAAAATATATGCTTTCTGATTAGAAAGGAATTATATTTATTATATACAGCAGAAGAAAAAGTAAAAAATCACCACATCTTTATAAATTAAACAACACAGTTTGAAATATTCCAAAGTTTATAACAACAAAATCATAAAAAAAAATTGAAAATAAGTTGAATCAAATCAAAATAACAAATAATCAGAAAATATGGAATATAGGTGAAACAATGCATTTATATCATTAAAAGCTATACTAGAAAAGATTGTGTCAAATCAATGGTCAAAATTCTCACTTTAAGAAATTAGGAAAAGAACAAAAAATTAACACAGTAATTATGCAAACACACACACACATTTCTGTATGTATGAGCATATATGAATACACACACAAAGGAAACTATATCAGGGAAAGCAGAAATCTATGATATAGAAAGGTTAAAAATAGATAAATCAATAAAACAATAAAGTTTATTCTTGGAAAACATCAATAAAATGAACCAAATATAGATAGACAAGAACAAAATAACAAAACAAAGCAAATCACCAAAATCAGGAGTAAAAAAGGATCATTACTGTAAGTACTGTAGAAATTAAAGAAATTATAATGACTAATTTCATGTTTTCAAATCTGAGAACTTAGAATGGACAAATTTCTACAAAGATATAAATCATCAAATACTGACTTGAAGAATGTAAAAACAACTAAGAAAAATTAATATAATAAAATATTTTAAAACTTTCCAAACACACACCCCATAGAAACCCAGAGTGAGATGGTTTCACTGGTGAATCTATTGAATAATTAAAGAATAAATAATACCAATCCTTCACAATTGTTTATTCAGAAAATTTAGAAAGAAAAAAAATTTCAACTCATTGTATAAATAAAACAAAACAACAACTAAAACCTCTTGGATCATGAAGAAGTATCTGAAAAAAAGTTCTAGGTTAGATCACAGATACAGGGGCCTACAGAATATAATTGGACACAATGGACCTTCTCTCCATTCACTTTTGCACTTTAATTGATACATTAATAATGAGATTTTCCCTAGCTATCCATACATTCAATTATTTCTATAATCTCTGAAATTGATACAGGAAAGGGTTACTGCAAGTCCAAAGGAACCTCAGAGTCACCACCAGAAATAGCACACCCACACAGCAGAGGAAACTTAGTCTTCCTTTTCCTCAAGTTCAGATGCCGGGGCTTATTCCCAAGTCTTACCTGCATCATCTCTACTGTTGATCCCTGCAACCGATACTCCAGATCTGACATGAAATCTCTCAACAACTGGCTGTGCTTGACCAGTTCACTCTCAGATTGAGCCAGGTCATTTAGAATATTTTCCTTCTTCTTCTCCAACTTTTCCATCTCCTTCAGCTCCTCAATGTCCAGGAATCCTCTTAGTTGTTTAAAAAAAATGTTGGATATGTTGGCTCTCATTTTCTATTTGATCCTTCAGGAATGAGAAAGAGAAGGTCACAGGCATCAGGCAGAGACTGGGAGCCAGAAAAAGAAGTATTTGATATGGAAGTTCTCACAGGGAAGGGAGATGGCAGCAGGAGAGAAATTCTTGAGGAGGCTGATTTTTCTTATTATTTCCTCTTCATCACATTCCAAAATAATGCTCTTATGTCTGCACTATTGAGGCCAACCCTGAACCAAAATGAGAGACCTGGGTGAAGCTTAGCTTTCACACAGCTTGCTCAGGACAGTCATGCATTACTCCTGACCCCCATAACCCCACCTTCTGCCTAATGGTCAGCTCCAGAAACAGAGCCATGAGCCACTGGCAACTGTCATACCCTGGAAAAGTGCAAGGCTCAAAATAATGAAAGAAATGAACACAGAATTTACTAGTCATCCTCACCAGTCTCTCTGAGAAGAAGTAACCTACAAAGACCTGTGTTAATTTGTGACATGTTTATTTTCAGCCCTTCCCCTATTTGGGAAAAGATAAGGAATGGCTAATTAATGAAACTGGACTTATGGACTGTCAGGACAAAAAAAAGGCAAGGAACTCCTTGTGACAAACATGCAAGGTCTTGCCCAGATTCTTGTCCAACTTCCTCAGGAATAGTTTCAACCTACCTCACAGGAAATTCTCTCTTCTTTGAGGTCAGCTTCCCACTTTTCAGCATTCCCCTTATTTTCCCTCAGCTTTTCCAGAGCTCTCTGGAGCTTCTCCTGTGAGAGAGGAATCACACCAGCGTCAAGCTATGGATTGTCCTCATCAGAAGGGAGAATAAAATGGGGGTAAAAATGAGGCTGATCCCTAAAGAGACTAGAGTTTACAGAAACTGTGAAATAACAATTATAATCTTTGATTTGAAGGAAACCTGATGTGGTGATAACATTCAGATGATAGAAGTCACCATTCCCATGTCAAGAGAAGACTTATTCTCTTTGCCCCAGAAGAAAACACTTGATCCTATAATAAGGAAAGAAATTAGGTTCTGATCCACCCAGATGCCTAGTTAAGCTTCCTGTCCAAAGGGACAATGACAGCATTTCATGGGCACCAAAACTCCACCTATTAGCACAGGGTATAAAAATATCTACTTATGGTTGAGAGGAGTCTGCTCATCATTTGTGTGGAATGCACAGAAATGTCCTTCAGGCTTTGGAAGGTGATCATCAGAAGAAACATGATCATAAGCCTCAGGGTTATGGTAGCAGGATAATTAGAGTCAAAAATAAAGTTTGGATTTCCCATCAAGTACATTTTTCTGCCCTGTCTTTCCTGCATCCTGGTCTGTTACCTTATACTCCTGGGCAACCTCCTCCATGAGGAATGTGTGGTGACCACGGTGCTCTTGAGACCGCTCGCAAAGCCAGCAAATGATCTTCCCATCCTCCTTACAGAACAGCAGAAGTCTCTCTCCATGGCGCACACAGAGATTTCTCTTTTGCTCCTCTTCTGGGATCAACCTGACCTCCCTAAGCATCTCCACTATGTTGGCCACATGCCGATTTAGCCGCAGGTTCCCAGGCTGGTAATTTAGCCTGCACACTGGGCAGTGGCTCTCTCCTTCCTGGCCCATCATGGACTCCTTGTTGTTGGCAGTGATGCAGGCTTGGCAGAAGCTGTGCCCACAGTCCAGGCTCAGGGGTTCTTTCAGAAGCTCCAGGCAGATGGGGCAGGACACCTCTTCCTTTATGTTCACCAGAATTCCTGAAGCCATTGCAGCTGCTCCCCTGTTCCTACCTGTTCTGATCTGAGGCTCCTCTTGCTCACCAACCTACCTGATGGGAAAGGTTAAAAAGAGGCAGAGTAAGAACCGCGATAATAAATATTGTTAACTGTGTAGAAATCAAGGATGGGGCCAGAAAAAATATAGATGGACAAAAAGGAAAAAGTAGAAAGATAAGGAAAAGAGTATGGTGACCTGGTAAAAAGGACTTTTCAAAACAATTTTCAATATTTTAAGTTAATATGTCTTGAAATTTTTCATTTTTATCTCTGTAATCGTTGTTATTGTCCTTTACTTTTACTGAACAAAATGATGACCTGAGGCCTTTTCTACCAAAACAAGACATTTGTGTTACCCAACAATTCTCCTGCATCTTCTTCCCTATGTCAAACACATCCTCAATGATAAAAGCACTAAACCACTGATGGGTCTGGGCTTTTATACATGCTCTTCTCTCAGCAGGCAATGCTGTCCCTGGTATCAGTAGAATCCACTCTCATCTTTCACTTCACTCTCTCCTTACATGTTCTTTATCAGAAAGACCTGCTCTGACTTGCTTATTTATAGTGTAACCATTCCGATGATTTGCTATATGTTTGAAATGATTTCTCTTATTATTATGACATAATATGTGACAATGTGTTTGCGAACGTGACAAGAGAAAACCCTTTATCAGATGTATACATAAAGTTAGTGAGTGACTTACAAAGATCATTTTCTTCAGTATACACAGTTGCAATGAACATAATATACTCACAGTCACCTTTTAGTTGTCTGTTCCTACTTTACTGAGTTAATCAGAGACAAAACAGGTAACTTAGGAGGTTCTGGGGAGTCTTGTGTTGATAAACGGTAAATTTCACGTTTGCCTGGAAATATGCCAAGGACATTGATGGGACCCTAAATCTGCGTGTGTATGTTAATGATGGGGAGAGTGATAGCATAAATATACTCATAGGATCACACAAGTCACATATCTGAAAATATAGAAATACAAATAAAAAAATAGAGATCTTGCAAAAGATCTCAAAATATTAGGCAGAATTATTCAACTAAATTTTAATCACTGTTAATTACATGCTAACAATTAAGCTAATACCCATAAACACAAAAATGCATCTAAACAGAATTTAAATCACTATGACTATGACATTCACATGAAAAGTAATAGTAAATTAAATCATCAGCTATATATATATATACATATATATGTGTGTGTATATATATATATATATACACACACACACACACACACACACACACACACACGGATGTGAAAAACACTACTAGAGAGATGTGCATGCAGTTAGGAAATCAAACAACGGATACAGATAAAGGATTGTCCAGCAATTCCAACTTGAAAACATAAGAGTTGAACTGAAAGCTGAAGAAGATAAAGTAAATATGGCATATGGGACAGACAAAAAATTGTTACAGCTAGAGGAAATTACTTGTTCATGAAAGATGCATGCCCTTGTCTGAGATAAAAAATGCCAGTGTGGCCCTGGCCGGTTTGGCTCAGCAGTTAGAGCGTCGGCCTGCGGTCCGGAGAGACCCGGGTTCGATTCCTGCTAAGGGCACGTACTTCGGTTGCAGTTTGTCCCCGGCCCTGGTTGGTCGTGCGGGTGGCAGCCACTCGATGTGTCCCTTCACGTCCGTCGATGTTTCTCTCTCTCTCTCTCTTCCTCTCTCTCCCTCCCACTCTATCTGTACAAAAAATGGAAAAATATCCTCGGATGAGGATAAAAAAAAAAAAAAAAAAATGCCAGTGTGGCTGGTGTGAGAAAACTGCCAGGCTTTTGGTATCACACACGCCTGCAGTGACCATGACACATGGCACTTCCTCAGTTATGTAACATTTAGGGACACTTTTTCAAGAGTAAAACACATTGTCAGTGTTGGGCTGTGGAATGTTAGATGGATCCAGTGTGGAATGAAGAGGATGAGTAGGATGAGTGCACAGTTGCCCAGGGGAGAGATGATGATAGCTTTTAGGACAGGAGATGAAGCAAATAGAAGATGTTGTGAGTGAGGCGCAGAATGAGGTAAGAGGAAAGGACTGGCAGTTCTATTAGACACCTGAGAACAACAATTCAATAGGCCTGAGCTCTTTCCACCTATAAAGGTAATATTGGTTTACTCTTCTAATAAGTTGGCCTTTTGTAAAATTAAGATACATAGGAATAAACTTAACCAAAGAAGTAAAGGACCTATTTGCAGAAAACTAAAGGACGTTGAAAAAAGAAATAGAGGAAGATATAAAAAATGGAAGCACATACCTTGTTCATGGATTGGAAGAATTAACATCATTAAAATGTCCATACTACCCAAAGCAATGTATAGATTCAATGCAATCCCTATCAAAATACCAATGACATATTTCACAGAACTAGAAAAAATACTTCAAAAGTTCATATGGAATCAAAAAAGACTCCAAATAGCCACAGCAATCTGGAAAATGAAGGACAAAGTAGGTGAGATCTGAATACTGGATGTCAGCTTATATTACAAAGTTACTGTAATCAAAACAGCCTGGCACTGGGCACAAGAACAGGCATAGAGACCAGTGGAACAGAACAGAGAAATTGGAAATTGACCTAAGACATTATGCTCAATTAATATATTTTTTATTATTAATTAATTTATTTTTGTTACAGATGTTTCTCCTTTTTCCCCCAGACACCCTCTTCCCTAACCCACCCCCCAACCCTGCCCCGCAAACATTGTTGACTATGTCCATTGGTTACATATGCATATAAGTTCTTTGGTTTATCTCATTCTTTCTTCCCACCCCACACCATCAGCTTTTTTGTTCATTATATGTGACAAATAAGTGATATCATGTGGTATTTGTCTTTCTCTGACTGGCTTATTTCACTTAGCATAATACTCTCCAGTTCCCTTCATTTCATCTCAAATGATACAAGATCTCTCTTTCTTACAGCGGCATAGTGTTCCATTGTATATATGTACCACAGCTTTTTTTTTTTTTAATTAATTTTTTTTTGTTACAGATGTTTCTTTTTTTTTTTTATCCTCACTTGAGGACATTTTTTTCATTTTTTGTTCAGATAGAGTGGGAGGGAGAGAGAGAGAGAGAGAGAGAGAGAGAGAGAGAAACATCGATGTGAAAGGGACACATCGAGTGGCTGCCACCCACACGACCCAACCAGGGCTGGAGACAAACTGCAACCAAGGTACGTGCCCTTAGCGGGAACTGAACCCAGTTCTCTCTGGACCGCAGGCCGACACTCTAACCACTGAACCAAACTGGCCAGGGCTAGATGTTTCTTACTTTTCCCCTACTGACACCCTCCTCCCCTTCCCCCCATCCCAACCCCAGCTTTGTTGTCTATGTTCATTGGTCATGCATACATGCATGTAAGTTCTGTAGTTTATCTCTTCACCCACAATCTTTCTCCTCTGAGGCTTGTCAGTCTGTACCCCACCTCCATGTCTCTGGGTTAATTTTGTTCAGCAGTTTTTTTGGTTCATTATATTCCATAAATAAGTGAGATCATGTGATATTTGTCTTTCTCTGCTTGGCTTGTTTCGATTAGCATAATACTCTCCAGGTCCTTCCATGCCATCTCAAAGAATAAGAGATCTTTCTTTCTTACAGCTCCATAGTATTGCATTGTGTACACATACCACAGCTTTTTAATCCATTCATCTTCTGATGGACACTTGGGTTGTTTCCAGATCTTGTCTATCGTAAACAGTGCTGCTATGAACATAGGGGTACATATATTCTTTCTGATTGATGTTTCAGGCTTCTTAGGATATATTCCTTGAAGTGAGATCACTGGGTTAAATGGCAGTTCAATTTTTAACTTTTTGAGGTAACACCTCAGTGTTTTCCACAGTGGCTGCACCAGTCTGCATTGCTCAATTAATATTTGGCAAAGGTGGCAAGAACATACAGTGGAGTAAAGACAGCCTCTTTAATAAATGGTGGTGGGAAAATTGGACAGCTACATGCAAAAATAGGAAATTAGACCATCAACTTACACCATACACAAGAATAAACTCAAAATAGATAAAAGACTTGTAAACAACATATAGATGAGTCATGCATTCTTATCCAGTCAGTTACTCTGCGTCTTTTTATCGGAGCATTCAAACCATTCACGTTAAAGGTGATAATTTATATGTACTTATTTATTGCCATTGTTGTTTAGTGTGGTTCTATTTTTCTTCCTATTTCTTCTACTAATTACAGCAGTCCTTTTAGCATATCTTGCAGTGCTGGTTTGGTGTTAATATATTCTCTTAGCCTTTTTTTTTTTTGGTCTGGAAAGGTCTTTATTTGACCTTCTATTTTGAATGATAGCCTTGCTGGGTAGAGTAGTCTTGGATTCAGATCTTTGTTTTTCAGGACCTTGATTACCTCATCCTATTCCCTTCTGGCCTGTAGTGTTTTTGTAGAGAGTCAGCTGATAGCCTTATGGGGTTTTCTTTGTAGGTAACCTGTTGCTTATCTCTTGTTGCCTTTAGAATTTTCTCTTTGTCTTTAATTTTTGGCATTTTAATTATTATGTGTCTCGGTGTGGGCCTGTTTGGGTTCTTCATACTTGGGGCTCTCTGTGCTTCTTGAACTTGAATGCCTTCTTCCTTCACCATGTTAGAAAAGTTTTCTGTCACTATTTTTTCAAATACATTCCCTAACTCATTGCCCATTTTCTTCCTCTTTGGGGATTCGTATGATGCGAATGTTATTATGTTTCCAGTTGTCCCACAGTTCTCTTAAGCTGTCTTCCTCCTTTTTAATTGTTTTTTCCTTGTGGTTTTCTGATTGGTTGATTTTTCCTACCCTGTCTTCTAATTCACTGCTCCAGTATTCGACTTCTTCTACTCTGCTAGTTAGTCCTTCCAATATGTTCTTAAATTCTGCTAAGTCATTCTTCATTTCCACTTGGTTGGTTTTCAATATTTCTATATCTTTACTCATGGTGCTGATGTTCTTATTCATGCTGTTGAGCTTCCTCAAGATCATGGCTCTGAACTCTTCCTCTGATAATTTGCTTAGCTGCATATCATTGATCTCA